GATTTGATTTTAGGCAGATTTACATCTTGAAACCAGTTTTCAGCTTCACTATAAAGAACAGGAGCAGTAATTTGATCCTGTAAGAACTCAGAAGCGCTCGTTTTCATTTTCTCACCAGTTTTTGTTGCTTCTGAAAACATTCCCACCACTGTGGTCCCGTCACAGGAAACATGAAGATCAGGCTGAACCTTTGCAACCCATTTTCTTCCACTTTCACTTCTTCAACTCCTGAGAACCCTTAAAGTCCACGCACGATGAAAGAAAGGGCTCAGCACAGAAAAAACAAGATTAGAAAGTTTTATTTCAGAAAACGTGAGTGAACATGGCTGAGAGACGGAGTTAGAAATCACCACCAGGTTTAAAAAAACTGAAGTTTGTTCACAAACAAACGAAACAACAATTAACAACAAAAAGGTAAATTAGCACTTTATCTGACTTTCATCTCCAGACGTGACACGCTGTCGATCCGATCGATCACAAATCGTCTCTCATTTGTAAATTAGAAGTTTCATTTGTGCCCAACTTCCAAACTGAATTTAATTCAAACTAAAACCAACACCGATAATCACATCATCATCATCGATTATAATAAACTTTGTAATAATTGGTCGTAAACCGAAAACAACTGTAGGAGCCCCGGTCATTCAAGATGGCCGCCACAGCTAATCAACCTTAGCAAAAGATTTTAACTTATTGAGCTCAAATTTGACGCGGTGGTCGTTTCGACCAAAACGACTCCACCAGCATCAGATGGTCTCGGTAAAAGTCCCGACAGGCGCCGTGCGTTCGTTCAAGGAACGTTCGGGCGTTTAATTCGACGAGTTTTACTGAAGTTACCTTCGTTCAGGTGGTTTTCAACAAACCACTTACTAAAGAAAATGTCACACCATGAAGGTCTAATTCAGCTCTTCTGCAGAGCGCTATTCTGCTCCAAACTCATGGAAAGAGAATATCTTACCTGCTCTAGATGGAAGGGCTGTAACTGTGTTCACTCTGTGATGGTTTTACTGTCAAAATCCACAATTTTCAGCTTTTAAATTTATTTTTTTCCTGTAAATGTTTCATCTTAGATAATGAACTGATTGATTAAATGAAGAAGCTTAAAAAAATTGTTTTATTTTTAAGGTTTGACTAAAAATAAGCGGGATAGAAAAGTTTATTTAGCTGCGAGCCGTTGACTCAGCTCTTCCTCTGATGCGGCGTTACGTCACAAAATCTGGTCGGAAAAGTCTCAACTTTAATGGTTTTAGTTAAAAAATTATGCTTATTTGGCAACATGACACCAGCGCGAGTCATGTTTGAATAAACAAAAATTAAAACGCAATGTTGAAAACGAAATACGACCCTCAAACTGAAGCAACTGTTTACACAAACTAGTTGACCCTTTTTACTCCTCCTGATCAAAAAACACTTCATAAATGGTTTTCTCTCTCAGGATTTCAAATAAAAACATCGTTTCTGCAACAATAATTTAAAAAGCAGCACTTTTGACGCGGACGGCAGCGGCGGGGTTAATATGGCTCTGGTTGATGAACTCGTCAAGGTCTGACTGGATGTTTTTTATAAAACAAAAACCTGCAGTAACTTATAAAAATCTTCCCAAATTAACTGATTAATGTGCAAAAAATATAAATAAAAATAAATAAAACCCTCCCTTTAGCCCTCAGTCGATATGATTGAAAACGTTTCCTCTGCTACATTAAAAGAAAAAAAACACTATTTTCTCAAGTGAAATTGTGTTTTAGAAAATAAATGAGCAGAAAACTTGACTTTTAAATCATTTCTGCAGAAAAAAAAAAAGCATCAAAGTAAAAAGTGCAAACACAAAGTTCAGGGCACCGGGACAGAAAACGTTCGTCTTTGACTTCTTTCTGTATTTATTGCATCAACTGTCTCCTGAAACAGCTCTGAACGTTTAAAGACGTTTGGTTCTGAAACTGCCTCTGAAGGAGCTACAAACACAGGAAGTGCAGATTAACACACAACTGCTCGTTTATACATCGAACAACCCAAATCTGGGATTTTGGACCAAATAACGAATAAATATGAAGCAGCTCCACGTGAAGCTCCGAGCGCCGCTGAAACACTGCAGGCTGGAATAAAAAATAAAATAAAATCCGACCAGAACAAGTTTCATCTGTCCGATCAAGGCCTTCAAACTCGTGAAAGCAGCGATTTCTTCCTCCTCTCATTTAAAGTCATCGTAAAGGGACTGAGCACCTGAAAGACTCACCGCCGAGCGAGGAGAGACAATCTGGAGATCATCGAACTCTCGTATTTTCACAGACGGAAATATAAATCCTGCAACAGCAGGTGGTCGCGGACTCCTCTGAACGAGAACTAAAGCAGCTTTAAATCAAAATTAATACGGATAATCAAGAGGAGCAAACAGGAAAACATCCCCCCACGACTGAGAAATAAAAATAAATCAAACTTCCTTGGATTTAAACCAGACCTGGAGATTAGTGTTCAGTTTCAACGCAGAGTCTGAGATCCAGTTCTCAAAGCTTTTAACGGTCAGTCTCGTTATTTTAAGTTACGGTCTCCAAACAAAGATAAAAACAAATCACTACCTGGAGGCAGGACCTTCGTCTTCCACCTCCAGAGGCACAAGTTCAGGTTTTATAATTAAAAAACCTCAGAAGGATTTAGACCAAACGTAGCAGAGTGCTGTTTGTGCTGATCACCCTTTTTAACATGGAGGAGCAAACCAACAACAGCCTAGGTCCAAACAAACGCTTGTTTTTGGATGTTTTCATGTTCAAGTGTCTGCGAGCGCGTCGCTAAAATACAAAAACCGCAGCGCCAGCTCGCGACCCGGCATCAAGACGACAGCAGATTTGACGAGAACAGCGCCCCGTTGTGGCCGTGTGACCTTTACACAATCCACGTCGGAAAAACGATTCCAGGGATTGTTTACGTGTAAACAGCATAAAAGTAACATTTATAAAAGACAGGAATGCTTCAGATTCGGCTGGCAACGTCTTGGATTAAAAATAACTTCATGTGATACAAAGAATTACAAAAATAAAATGGTGACCTGTGCTGGTGAAATGAGTTGACGAGCGCACAAACTTTTGTTGTAATTGAGATCTGCGCAAAAATTAATTAATAAAGACGCCACCCAGCGATCTCAGAAACTAAAATATGATTTAATCTTCCTTCTTTCTTATAAAATGAACTTTTCTAACTGATGTGTCCTCAGAAATAATCCGTTGTCTTAAAAAAAGTCGAATCTACCAATTTTCTCTACCGGGAAATCCCGTCGTATAATGTTCAGCATAATTTTGTCTCCCCGTTTTTAAACGTATGGCTGGATTTGCAGATGCCACGATTCTAGAGCATTAAAGACGGCGCTCGTCAAATTTCAACGAGCTACAGCTTACTGCGACGCTTCTAAAAACGGAGAATTTGAAAACAGCTGAACACGGAAAGGTTCCTGTTGTGACTCTTATTGCCGGCACGAGCTACAAATATTTCAGATGGAAGTTCAGAAAGTTTATGAGCAGTTACTATCTTACCTGTCGCAGACAGCTCTTTAAATGACCTCAGTTTGGAGCAACGGACAACCAGCAACTCCAAACGTGGATCGTCTTCGTCTTAAACCAACTCCAACCTTAAACGTTGTGCGTCGTTCCTAAATGCTGTTCCATAAACTTTTACACGACAGCTAATTAGCAGTTAGCTTGCTGCTAATGCTACTTGGGCCTGCAAAGAACTACACAATTATTAATTTGCTTAATGCAAAATTAACGGCAATATAAAAGTTTATGAAGTAGTGTGTGCAAAAACCAAACCCAGCAGCAATCTACTTTGGTCTCGGCCCCACCTGGACGACCTGCGACGGCAAGAATTGTGAAGAGAAGAGTGCTGTTTGTGCTGATCACCCTTTTTAACACGGAGGAGCAAAACCCATCACAGCCTCGGTCCAAACAAGCGTTTGTGTAGTCAACATTTGGGATGTTTTGAAGTTCAAGTGTCTGCGAGCGCGTCGCTAAAAATACAAAAACCACAGCGCCAGCTCGCGACCCGGCATCAAGACGACAGCAGATTCAACGAGAACAGCGCCCCGTTGTGGCCGTGTGACCTTTCAACAATCCACATCGGAAAAACGTTTCCAGAGATCGTTTACGTGTAAACAGCATAAGAGTCCTGAACAGGTTCAGGTCAAGAGGTATCTTAAGGCAGCATCCTCACCGAGCTGCGACTGCGTTGACAAGTTGGAAACAACAAACTGTGAGAAAATACACGATTCTTTCCATCTGGACTCGCGCCGAACGACACGATCGATGTTCAAGTACACTCAACAACTGCTCTGGATTTACAGAAACAAACGCACCAGACGCCTGCGGCAACTCCGGAGAACGTTAGAGACGAATCTTTGGAACTTCTTCCAAATCCCTGCAATGTCGGCGCGAGGCCCGCGGCTTCCCTGCAGGCGTTCTTAGTCGTGTTGGGCATTTGTTAACGAGCCTCGTTTGCAGGTTTCTTTTTTCCACAACAGTCGCAGCTTTAGTGGAGAAGCTGCTCGCAATCAAAACCAGAACCTGGTAAGTTAGACCTGGTTTTAATTGATACGCACAAGCTGGGACGATTTTAAGCCAACAGAGATTAGAGGCCGGCGCTGCTTCGGAGAGGCCTCCAGTTCTTACGAACATTAATTAGACAAAAACTAAAAAGACTTCATTTTGTATTTTGTGTCGTTTTGATAACGAGATGTGTTTAATCAGCAGTTCAGCCACACGTGAGCTACACATTTGAACCCGTTAAGCATCAAAGTTCTTGATTCCTTCACAACAACCTCATCCAATAAACCAAAACCAGAAAGAAAATAAAGATCCGGTCCCACAGGTGACAAAGAGCTCACCTGGTCTGTATTTACATCAGAGGCCAGCTCTGTCACAAACCTTTTCCTTAGGAAAAATAACAGACAGATCTGCTTTAAACAGCAGCTACGCCTGGACGGAACCGGCCTCCGAGGGCCTGGTGGTTCTGGGTCTTCATTTAGGAGGCGAGGGCCATATGGGGAGCGGGTGGGCCTCGGTGTTGAAGACGTACTCGTCCAGGCTGAGCAGCTCCGCGTCATCGGAGAAGAGCAGGAACAAGTACTTCAGAGTCTCACCCAGGAAGAAGCTCTCCATCTTGTCCCGGGGGGCCGGGTTGGCGGGGTCCTGGACGTTGTTGATGGACGTGTAGCCGCCAGTGGGAACCTGCAGGAGTGGAGGTCCGGTGGGTAAAGTCTCAGAGGGAGGCAGAGAAATACATCAACACAAAACAGGCTTTGTAACGTTAACTCTGTTTGGTTCAGAGTTCTCCAACGGCATTCTTGTATTGTAAGGCCCGGCCCGAACAGAACCCCAGGTCTCAGGGTTCCAGGAACCGGGCTGGAAGTGGGTCGTAAATGTAAATACGCAGAACCCGGGTTTGAACCCAGGCCAGGCCTCACAATGCAGAAATGCCATAAATCAAATGTTGCCGTTTTATCCTCTTCTCAAAACAAAGAATCGTGTACTAAAACTTAGTATTTGTAAGTAAAATTTAAAGTGTAGCGGTTACAAATATTTTGTCCATGAAAACACGTGTTCAGTTCCTTCAAAAACATTCACTGAAACCTTCGGCATGGTTCTGTGTTTGTGTTCTTATGCTGCTTTTAGCTGCTGTCCTGGTATGGTTTTTCTTTTACTCACAATTTTTAGTGACAAGTTTTGCTACATTTAGCTTTTTTTGTTGCTTAATTTAGCTTTAATATACATTATTAAATTAAAAAAATATATATATTTTACATATTTTACCTTTTGGTTAAGTGTTTTGCCAACTTTAGCTTCCAGCTACAGTGTTGCCGATTCTACTTTTGATCAAAAGTTATTTGCCAACATTCACTTTTAGCTAAATTAATTACTTTATAGCAAATGATTGTTGTTTTCCCCATATTTAGCTTTTAGTTGCAGTGTTGTCCACTTGAGTTTTTAGCTGCATTAATGCTCAACTTAGCTTAGTTAACGAGCTGAACGTAGCAGGATCTGCAGTGGAAGTGATCTCCAGCTACAAGTACTTGGGTGTGCACCTGAACAACAACCTCAGCTGGAGCAACAACACCACCAGCCTGATCAAGAAAGCTCATCAGAGACTCTACTTCCTCAGACGGCTGAGACGAGCTGGTCTGGGAGTCTCAGTCCTCACCTCCTTCTACAGGTGTGCAGTGGAGAGCATCCTGTGCTCCAGCATCAACGTGTGGCATGGAGGCTGCACAGCTGCAGAAAGAAAAGCTTTGCAGAGAGTGGTGAAGGCTGCACAGAAGATGTTGGAGTCAGTCTCCCCACCATCACAGACATCTACACCTCCAGATGCAGGAAGAGGGCCACCTGCATCATGAAGGACCCCACTCACCCAGCACACACACTTTTTGCCCCGCTCCCCTCAGGAAGGAGGTTGAGGAGCATTAAGTGTAGAACCACGTTTAGTATTTAGCTGCGACGCTGCTCGCCTTAGCATTTAGCTGCAACGCTGCTCGCCTTAGCATTTAGCTGCGACGCTGCTCGCCTTAGCATTTAGCTGCGACGCTGCTCGCCTCTGCATTTAGCTGCAATGCTGCTCGCCCTAGCTTTTAGCAAAACTAACATTCTAGCTTGAGGTTTTATCAACAGTTTTAGCTACATTTATTGTTTAGCCTCGGTTGGCCTATTTTAGCTTTTAGCTGCAGTGTTGCTGAGCCTCTGTTCTGCTTGTTTAAACAGTTCAGCTAATTTCAGCTGTCATTCAGCACTTGACAGACGGTGTTGGACCTCTAAGACCCGACCCGGCGGTACCTTGGCGTGCTTGTTGAAGCTCTGCAGGATGTCCCAGCCCCAGTCTCTGTACTTGGTGTCCTTGGTGAACCTGAACATGTAGAACAGACTCTCCACCGTCTCCGGTCTCAGCAGGTTGTGTCTGTCAGCCGGCTGGAGGAAAGACAGACCTTTAAAAACCAGGCGGTCCCACAGAAAACAACACTTCTCAGACAGCCGAAGATGAGAGAGACATGAGCGGAACGATGAAGGTGAAGCACAAAGGGCAGCAGGCGGAGCTCACGAGTCGCCGCTCGACTTCCAGACGACTGAACCCTGAATTTAAGACGCTTCATTGATGGACTGAAGGAGAATCAATTTTAAAAAGCAGCACGCCGATGATTTGAATAGTGAATGTTTGTTTTGGAGAGGAGTGTTTTTCTGGACTGGACCTGAACAGGGAAGGAAGTAAACCTAAATGTTTTTGATACAAGAGGGTGAGAGTTTCACCAGAGAAAAACAAAAGTAAGTTTGTTTTTCTTGTCCGAGGCAGCGCAGAGTGACGGATCCTGGCGAGTGGAGGGAGACATTTAATCCACCACCAGGTGCAGAGGTGGAGCCAGGGGGGGTCCAATGGTGGCCTTGGCCCCCCCATAGATTAGTCTTTGGCCACCCCAATCATTTCAAGAAATTTTACTTTTAAGCTATTTAAAAACTAGAAAGCAGAGTTTTCTCAAATGATAGAGGTGGACAGTTTACACATTTATTTATTTATTTATTTATTTATGATGGTGGCCATCTTGGATTTTGACGTGGCAACCTCATTTTTAATGGCGACCTTTCCTACGCCTAGATGCAGCCGCACACTAAAATGGAAGTCAGTACCTCACTCACAAGACGGACAGAGGGAGGGTGTTGGTTTCATCCACCACCTGTCACGGTGGCAGGCGATCATGTAAACACACGTGAAGATCTCCAGAAGACTCCGACAGATTTTAATGAAGCTCTGAAATTAATCGTTGGTTGCTTTTACAACTCTAGCTTTTGGAGCAGACCTGGTTCAAGATGGCCGCCACAGTTCATAAACTTAAACACAAAAATGGCTCAGTCGATTTAAAGGACACCGAGCTAAAGTTTAGCGTGGTGGTAGCTGAGAGTCATCCTCCAAACAGACCGAGCGCTAACGAATCACATATGAGCTTATAATAAGACATGAAGGTGTTGAAAAAAGATTTATTTACTCCAAATTAGTCGTAAGAGGTCAAAGACGAGACCAGCATTTGTTTCCTTCGTGTTCCTGCAGCATCTAAACGAGCTCTTAAAGCGTTGGATTATTTCTGAGGTTAATGACGGCAGCCGTGGAGGCGGGAACTGAAGATTCAACGCTACGAGGAAAAAAAAATTAATAAATCTGGAGCCGTTAATGAAAAATGAAACGAGCCTCAAGGAGGGTGAGGAAGGTCACGGTCACTTCTCTTCAAACACATGATTAAAATTTTACTCATCGGCCTCGCTCCAGCTTCTCTCGCCGACTTGAACCGTTTTACAGTGAAAAGGCCGAACGTGCTTTCAAAAAATAAAAAAACTAAAGACGTTTTCAAATGAACAAAAGTGCGGACTTTAAAAAACGTTATTAATCAGGTGATCATCGTTCCTGCTCCAACGCTCCGGTAAGAACTGAAACTGACGTTCATGTGGCGTTTTATTGACTTTTATTCATTTTTATGTTTTGATTCTCAAAATATGGAACGTCAGCGGAGACAGAAAGGTAAACAATAAATAACAGCAACAATTTTCAAACATGTTAAAAGAATAAAGATGGAATTAAAGAAAGCAAAAGCAAAATGAGAACAAAAATAAAGGATGAAATAAAACAAAAAAAAGACACGTTAAAAAAATAAATGAACAAAATAGAATAAAAAAATAAGCAAAGAACAAAACAATGAAAAAGAACAGAAAATGGAAAAGTAAATGAACAAAAAGTAAAAAATAAAATAAAAATCGAAGGATAAAAAAGAAAAAATATATAACGGGTAAAAAACAACAACCATAAATCAGATCCAGAAGAAAGATGAAAACTACAGAAACAAGAAACAAAAAGACCGACACGACCTTCAGACAGATAAAAACTTTATCGTTCTCCCCCACCTTGACGAAGACGTCCTGTCCGTCGCTCGCCTGCAGGTTGAAGTGGGCGATCTCTGGGCTCAGGCCCGTCTCCATCTGTTTGTACATCTGATGGCACGTCTCCATCAGCTGCACCGCCAGGTCCATGTGGTCCCCCGGGAGCCCGTTGTGGACCCCCAGGGCCAGAGTCCCCGGCAGGAAACACACCAGGTGATCCTGCGGATGAGGAGCGGTTAAAACCGGACGGGTGCTGAACGGTTCTGATGAAGGCTGGAACGGACTGGACCTCAGAGGTTAATTGATTTAACGAGATCATAATTATCTAGATAACTGAAAGTGTCAGTTCGCTCTCTGTCTGAGAGGTCAAAGGTTAAAGCATCAACACTGAGTTGTTCAGCTCCACTACCGTTCATGGCTAAAGTGCCTTTGTGCAAAACAATTAACCCCCAACAACTGCTCCCTCCATGCTGGTCACGTTTGTGTCGTCTCAACAAGCATTAAATATGGTTTAAAAATTATATACAAATAAAACAACCCGTCGAACTGGTTGGATAAAATCCACGTACCATTTTAGGACTGAAGCGGTTGTGAGTCAGCTCTCCGACGAAGGTCAACCTGCCGGGTCCCGTCTGCCTCACCAGGTGCTTTTTTACCCCCTCGATTGCCTGAAGGTAATCCTGCAACAAACTGGACAAAAACACAAAAAGGAACGCAGCGTCATTGTCCCGTTAGAAAAGTCGTGCACAAAGTCAAGATCTGAGCAGACAAGATGTTCCAAAACAACAACAAGATGGAAAGCCCGCCCTCTTAAGGCCACGGCTTCACGTATCAGAACAAAAAAAACAAAAGATGGATCTAAAATGATTTAAGCCTAAAGAGTGGAACAACTGCTTCCAGAGGATTTCAAGGTCCTGGATCAGCTGCTGATGAACTGATCAGTGGGACGACATAAAAAACTGGAGTTTTACCGTTCTGGGGCATGAATGCCAAGATGGAAAGACATCAGCAATGACGTGAGAGAAGCAATTAATGCTGCCCATCAAGGACATTTATAAACTATTTGTAGTCCATCGTTCTACAGAGAAAGAGTTGAAAACATTTAGGGCAGCTGACCGTCATTAGACAGCATGGTGAACCTTAGGCTGACCACAATAAAAGGCCACACTAAAATGAGCAGTTCGATCACGCAGCACTGTGCCACAGATGTAACCAGATGTAATCCAGCCACTTCGCAGCCATGGAGGAGTGGACCAACATTCTTCAGGCCACAATCAACAACCTGATCAGCTCTATGAAGGAGATGTTGCACTGGGAGCCAGATAATGGTCACACCAAATACTGACCCCCCCTGGACCCCTCCAGTATAGTAAAACTGCACAGAGTATAATTTTATGTCCCAGTAAATAAAATCCTGACTTTCTTCTTTTCCTGAAATAATGACAAAAAGACAAAAATGGTTGATTTACTCGTCTTCAGCCTTTCCTCCCTGGATCCATTGTTTCAGCAGGTACTCGTAGTAGCTGTCCGCTCTGGCCCCGAGGGTGAACACTCCTTTGTGGCTGAACTGACCGCTGTTGGTGTTGATGAACATGGGCACCAAGCCGTCGTGCTTCCCAGGCAGCTTGTGGACGAGCCTCATTACCTCATTCGCAGCATCCTGGAACGTTCAAATGAGAGATTATTATAGATTCAGAACGATCCTCACAAATGTTCGTTACAACACGAAGACATGCGAAGCTCCTTTTCCAGGGTCCACACCTGGTACTGGGGGTCCTGGGTGACGTGGCTCAGCTCCCTGAACTCCAGCTGGATGCTCGTGACTTCGGCCAGCGTGCTGTCAGACGTCCACCGCGGCGGGTGAGCCGTCCCCATCCCGATGTTCACGTCCGAGAACGGGATCTTTGAGGGGGTTTTAAAGGCGGGCATCAGCCTGGTCCCGAGGTCTTTCTTTGAGGGAGGACAAGAAACTGAATCAGAGGAACGCTGCGTTCAAATCAGAAACTTCTACAAAAACACTGTGAAGGCTGAAATCGTCGGAGGAGAAACCGGTTTATCAACACTGAAAAAAAAAAGAGCCAAAAGCTAAAAGTAGCAAAAGGCTAGCTCGAAGCTAAACAGGGGAAAAGCAAAGGAAAGAGGTAAAAGTGGCAAAAAGGTAAAGAAAGAAAAAGTCTAGCCAAAAACCTAAAACCTGCAAAAGACTAACCAAAAGCTAAAAGCAGCAAAAGGCTGGTCAAAAGTTGCAAAAGGCAAGCCGAATGCTAAATGTAGCTAAAAGCTAGCTAAAAATAAAGGAAAGCCAAATGTAGCACAAGTTTAGCTAAAAAACAAAACAAAAGCTAGCTAAGAGTTAAGTAGCAGAACTGTAGCAAAAAGCTAAATTAGCAAAAAGTTAGCTAAAAGCCAAAAGCAGTTTAAGAAAATGAAATCTAAACTGTTTCACAGAATGTTTTTGAACGACTGGAGTTTTTAAGATGCCTTCTGATTTTCAAACGTTTAACTCAAAATAATATAAAATATGTCCCGACCAGAACGAGCGTAAAACCCTCAAGATGAGCAGATACACAAACGTGTTAAAAATAACTAACTAAGATAAAAAGCCAAGCGGACTGTTGGGTCTGTGGACTCACAGCTTTGTCCAAGAACAGCTGGTCTTTAGTGAGGTGGAAGCAGCTCAGCAGCCCCCCCAGGATACGAATGGTTGTTTCGAAAAGATTCACGTCCACGTTCTTGTTGAAGGACAGCTCCGTCTCCACCCAGCTCCTCGCTTCAGCAAATTCTTTTAAAAAAACATAAAACAAATTATAAACCTTGTGCAGCTGCTAAAGTTGCCTTCAGCAAACTCGACCTCAGTTTTTGCTTTAGCTCCAACTCTTGAGGAAAAACATTTCTACTACGGTGCCGCGACCGCCGCGACCCAGATGTGTAATCTTGTGTCCTGCCTCAGAGATAACTGGAGAAATAAACAGATGAGATGCTGCTCTCAGAGGAAGATCCAGAGCCTAAGACTATCGAAACCACCTAAAAACCACCGATCTGTTCCGAGTTGACAGCTCTGTCCGTGTCCTATTAATGTATTTTTTTCATAATTTTCAAAAGTATTATTTTTGTATTTTATTTTGACAGACTTCCTGCTGCTGACTAACATTTTCCTTTAACATAGCTGGGCGCACATGGCTCCCGGATCCGCATGTACGACTCTTGCTCATGGTTTCAAATACCCACCCATAGCTCCACCCACTCCGTCATCATGTGACCAGAAGTCTAACCTGAATGACCAACGAGGAACTCTCCAGGACCGCCCCCCAAGATAGACGTGCATTCGTTTCTTCAGATCGTTGCCGTATCGTTATCGTATTTTGTGCTCCGTGCACCGACCTGTTCATTTGTTCAGCGATAATGGAAATAATGGAAAACGCACGGAGAATTTCTTATGACGCAGCTTTCGCGTTAAAAGCGATCGGCCGTCGAAGGAGGAAACGGAGCTGCCAGTAAGCTGCACCAGCGTGTCGATGGTCGGGCATTGGAGACGCGAAGCAGTCAAATCTGGTACGTTTTAATAAAAAGCTTTTAACTCATTTCTGTGCGACATCTTTCTGTGTCGGTAAATATGCATTTAAATATCGGGATCACATTTTAAACTCTCATCCGACATGCGTGTTCTGCAGTAAGGGAATTACAGTAAATGAAAATCTGACACCTTCTTTCAGCCCCATGAGCCACATGGTGTCCAAAGAGTCGATCAGGGTTAAACCGAGTCCGAACCACTCTCCGAAAGACTTGGAGATGGGCTTCAGCTCATCGTGACCCCAGGCGTGGTCCTTGTAGCCTTTCCAGGCGTGCCTGAAGGCGTCCCGCACCGCCTCCAGCCGGTCTGCAGGTCCAGCTGAGGGTGTGGGCACAGACATGACAGTTTTGATAAATAAACACATAAACTTTAGTCTGAATCTCCACAAGGAGCAAATATCAGAGCCTGGTCTTCCCAATAAAGACCAAAAGATGTGTTGAACATGGAGTCAAAGCAGAAAGAGAAAACTTCTCATTTTTCCTGTTCACTGATAAATCTGTCCGTCTGTAATGTAAAAACAGCAGCGTGTCCATAAACCTGGTTAAAAGTTTAAAATCAGAAGCTGAACGCTCATCAGTCCGGCTGAAACTCTGATCTTTAATGTTTGTGACGAACATTTCAGAGCAGCTCAGAGCCACTGCGAATATTTTAGGTCAATGAAAGCAGCTTCTCCTCAAAGAAATGAACATCGCCCGTCGCTTGACATAAGCACGGCGGTTGGGAATTACTCGGCGCTGACCTTCGGGGCGGCCGGTGGCTGCGGGCGGCGTCGCGGCTTCCTTCTCTCTGGCCGACGGTGGAGGCTCTGTGGCCTGGTCGGCCTCGATCATCGCTCCTCTCCAGCTGCGAGAACAAACCAACAAATCGTTTTAAACCCCGTGAGCGTCCGCGGCACGCCGAGTAACAACGTTCACCTGATCATCTTCTTCTCCTCTGCCGCCGCCGGCTGCTTCGGCTTGCCTTCACCTTTCGTGTCGGAGACGTTGCCGTCCCTCTGCAGGCTCGGAGGGCCCCGCTTGTTTAAGAACGTCTTTTTCTGCAGTTGGAAACAATTTGAAACCGGTTGGCAAAGGAAGTGATGTCATGATTTGAAACCTTTTATTATGATAAAAGGGTATTTTAGAACAAATCTGGGGTGGTTTGAACTTTAGAACTCATTTTTGTAAATTAAATTATTATAACGGAGCAGAAACGCCCGTTTCAGACCAAAACTACGGCGCTTTTGATTGACAAGTAAAACTTTATTTTTTTATAAATCCACGTTGAGTTTTGTCTCTGAAAATAAAAGTGTCACCTTTATTGGAGGTTTAGCCAAAACCGGGATATTTGGTCCTCTGGGCGGCGCGGCAGCTTCTGGAGTCTCGGCCGGCTCCAGATGTGGTCCCACCACAGGAGCTGGGGGTCTGCCTGCAGCTGGATTGATGACGGGCTGCAGGGCCGCAGGAAGGTTCAAGTTCCCGCCGTTCAGCTCCAACCAGTCCTCCTTATCGGACAGGCCTGCAAACCAAACGAGCAGACGACGTTCACGCCCTCATCAAGAACGTCGAACTAAATTTAGCCTCTTATAGTTTTATTTGAACCGTTTTGTCCCAGAAGGGAATATTTTACAACTTCCATTAATTTGAACAAGTTTAAATTTACTGTGGATTGTCTCTAATCCTCACAGGATCTAGTAAATCCAAACTCTCCCACTAATATTTGGTTAAATGTCCGTTAGCATGTAGCACCTGTTATTCAAGTCATGAAGCTGTAAGTTGTGCCATCGTTCCTCCGTGAACAGAACGGTTCAAATAAACCATTAAAACAATAAAATAATGCGCTTCATGTCCACGATGAGCGGATGAGACACAACAACATGTTTCACGTTATTTGAGTCATAAAAAGATGAATTCTGCTTCCAGGGAAGAAGAGCTCCTTTAAAGACTCGGTTTTCAGATGAAACAACACTTTTGAAAAACAATCCTCACATGCAGGAACATGTTCAGCATCACACACTTATCAAAGCAGATTTTACTAAATATCCCGCGACGTTTTAATTTTTACCGTTTACCATAAAAAAAGTGTCGCTCGACTAAACTCGTCGTTGTGAACGATTCAAACTAAACTGCGTGTTTTACCTCTCCACTGCTCCGTGAAGACGGGGAAGGAGAGCAGAGCTACAATCAGCAGCAGAGCCAGCAGGAAGAGGATGAGGCTCCGCTGCAGCCGAGACAGGCGCTTCCATTTCTGCAGACACAAAAGCAAACCGCTGAACCACCGAACAGCCACAGCCGCCTCCGAGCCGACTCTCAAAGAAGCCGAAAAATTACTTCCTGTTTGTCTTTAAAAGAGTGGAACACATAAGAAGCCTTGATGAGCTTAACTACTCTGTGCACCTGCAGCTTCTTTAGTTAATGTGAAGCTCCAGAGGAGCCAAAAGAAATCATCGCACAGCTAAAGAGACAAAATCATCTCACAGCTAAAGAGACAAAATCACCTCACAGCTAAAGAGACAAAATCACCTCACAGCTAAAGAGACAAAATCACCTCACAGCTAAAGAGACAAAATCATCTCACAGCTAAAGAGACAAAATCATCTCACAGCTAAAGAGACAAAATCCTCTCACAGCTAAAGAGACAAAATCATCTCTCAGCTAAAGAGACAAAATCATCTCACAGCTAAAGAGACAAAATCATCTCTCAGCTAAAGAGACAAAATCATCTCACAGCTAAAGAGACAAAATCATCTCACAGCTAAAGAGACAAAATCCTCTCACAGCTAAAGAGACAAAATCATCTCTCAGCTAAAGAGACAAAATCATCTCACAGCTAAAGAGAGGGACAAATCAGGCTCTGTGAAGTAAGAAACATGGCGGTGCCACCATGTCGATCTCATTTCACGCTCGGTGTTCATGTTTTATCTTAAAGCTTTATTCTCTCGAGAGAAAACACTGTCCTGATTTTCATTCAACATGTAGAAGTTTATTATTGATAAAGCCATTAAATGATTAAATCCCTGGATCAAATGTTTAAAACAGGTGCAGTATTTCTCTACGTCCTTTTTGGAGCAACAGCAGACGGTTTACACTTTAAAAACTTTAATAACATTTTAAAACTACTTCGTAAACTGTGATTTTACTGAGGGGGAAATGTGAAGTTAAGGATCCTGCTAAAAACACGAGTTACAAAGAGACATCCAACTTCTGACTGGTGAAACTGGTGAAACTGGTGAAAAAAAAAAACACTCCTGTTTGACTGTCTCCCATCTTTATGTGGAAAATCTCTGCGTAAACAAGAAATAGAAGCAGCTTCAGAAACGAGACAAGAACGTCCGTTCACACAAAGCAAACAAAACGACCTGCAGGACGGGTGAGCCGCGGTTCAAAACCAGGATGTTTGTAACAATCCACCCAAACATCAGAACATCTGGGTGACAGGAAGCTGCAGGACGGGTCGGGGGCGACGACGCCAAAGTCTTTAATCTGAGCTGCAGCCAAGCTCAGATTAAAGACTTTAAGCTGCCAGAAGCACGACGGACGTAAAGTCGTTTCAACGCTCAGTAAACAACTTTGTGAAACGATTACCTGCGTCTTTGTCATTTTAATCTGTTCTTGAAACGGATCGATTCGCGAGCTACGGTTCTTTTTGTGCGTTTCTTTTGATGCGGAGCAGCTCGAACCTCTCGGATAAAACCGCAACACGTCTGATCAATTCAGAGATCAAACCCCGCTCCTAATCGACTTCATCCGATTTGATGAAAGTTTCCTTTATTCTCATTCACTCCCTTGTTTTCCTGTTCATTTTTATTTGCTGTAGACGTTTTGCACACTTTGGTTTATTTTTAACAATCACAACGTCAAAACGTTCAGCTCGCTCAAGAGGCAGGAGCTCTGACTTTTAGTTCTTATAATTTCAGAATACTTGCCTTCGGCTCTGTTGGTTAATTTAATTATCCTATCATCAGCTCATTAAATAAATAAGTCGCACAGGAAGTAGAAACTCCTTTTTTTACCCAGGTTTAATCTTGCAAGAGGAACAGTGTTGAAAACCGGCATACAGGATGCTGCATCGCATCGCGCCCGGATCACAAGGTCTGCCCACAGCCAGTATAAAGAAGTGTCTTTTGAGAATGGTACAAAGGCCAAGACAGCTCTGCTCTCCAGCTTAGGGCCTTGACTGTATCACGTGAATGGCTCCATGTGTCTGCAGGCTCCACTTTGCAAAGACAAAACAACTCTCAACACACACAGTTATAAAACATTTGACATTAGTAAGTGAAAACCATCCATGACCTTATATCCCCCCCAACAGGCTCCTCTATGGACAGCCTTCGGCTCCTCTATAGCTAGCCTATTGCTACATTTATCCAGCATTTTAGTTAAATATTTGCTCTTTTACCTAGCTTTCATTTAGCACTATTTAGCTACAAATTGATACTTTAAGATAGCATTTGGCTTCTTTTAATAAAGTTTTTTTTTTCCATATTTTGCTAGCCTTTTGCTACATTAACCTAGCACTTTAGTTAGATTTGATCTTTTACCTTGTCCTTTTTAGCTAGCATTTTGCTCCTTTTAGCTAACGCTCTACTTATTTAGCTTTTAGCCATCATTCTGGTGCTTTTGGTCAAAGCTTTGCTCTTTGTAGCCACTCTTTTGTTTAATTTAGCTCTTAGCCAATCGTGAATTATATCTCGCTAATTTTTTTTATGTTTACTTTGCCCTAAACTAGCATTTTGGGACTTGTGTAGTATTCTGACAATTGTGGCTTTTAGCTAGCGTTCTGCTTTTTTTTTTTTAGCTGTTAACAACTCGGTTTCATCTTCGACAGATTTTAAGTTAAGTCATTCAGTGTTCAACATTCAGACTTGATTTTCACATTTTATTTTTACTTTCCCACCAAAATGTCTTCATTCAGCTGTCGGTGGGTTTATGTTGAACTGATCGATTCATCATTAAACGGTTAAAAAAATGCAAAACATGTAAGAAGCTGTAAAAGGTCAATAAATCTATTCTACAATGCAAAACATCAAAAACAGAATGATGTGCTGAGATGTTGCTGCCCGTCAGCATCATCAAAGCAAAACCAAACAAACCGTACCATAACTTCCTAAAGTGAGGGCCTACAGATCCACTCACCCTCCAGCAGGACTGTCTCCGGTGTTTGCCGTTGTTGTAGGCGTGACTGTGCGGGTCGCTGAGGGTCAAAGCGATGAAGTCCTTCCTGGGAGGCGGATACATCGTCTAAACCTCGCCTAAGACGACTGTAGATCATAGAAGCTGCACTAGAAACAGAACAAGTGCAATTTGTTTAAATTAGTCCTTTAAAAAATAAAAAGTGTGAACGCTGTCTGAGATTTTGGTCAAAGGTTATGGATGTTTTTTTATTGTGCTTTATTTTTGTGGCTGAGAACAAGGAGCTCCGTTTGCTTCCAAAAACAGTTGAATCTTCTCCCAAATCGCTCTTATATCGAGCTGAAGGATGCACCTTCGATGCCCATGAACCATATGTTTGTGAGAGCCATGTAAGGCTGCAGCTGGCTTCAAGGAAACCCACTCAATATGTTGAACTTGGCTGAGCTGAGGATATAAAGGTGAGCAGATAAGGCGACTCACGGCTCTATTCTATGACGGGTCTTAATGTGTATACATTTATGTATGTTTATATAGGTTTATGTATGTTTATATAAGTTTATGTATGTTTATATAGGTTTATGTATGTTTATATAAGTTTATGTATGTTTATATAGGTTTATGTATGTTTATATAAGTTTATGTATGTTTATATAGGTTTATGTATGTTTATATAAGTTTATGTATGTTTATATAGGTTTATGTATGTTTATATAAGTTTATGTATGTTTATATAGGTTTATGTATGTTTATATAGGTTTATGTAAGTTTAAGTATGTAACCTACCCGTCCTGAAATCTGACCTTGCAAGTAAATTGCCAGATATAAATCTTCAGCTGCCTCAAGTTGTGGTTCTTTTAAGTAAACGTCAGAGAACAAGATCATTTCTCCAACAAACACCACAAAGGCTGAATTCACCACCAGAAATAGATAACGGTTTTAAAAATATATCATAAAGACAGCTGTTTACTGCGAAGGCCAAAAAGAAACGAGTACACGCCTCTTTTAGTGCAGTTTATCAAAAATATTCCAAAAATGTGAACAACATTCAAACAAAAGAGCAGGTTGGAGCATCCCAGTGACAATTTCAACTTTTTTTTTTCCAAGTGAACCTTGTATCATAACTTAACAAATACTGTTTTAGTTCCTAATTAAACAGCAAAAAATGATTGACAGCTGGGTGATTTATGTGCCAATCAAAACACAATTTTAAATAAGACGTTCAAAACTCGACAAATAAATGTTTCTGTTACAGTGGTACACATTCTGACTCCAAGACTAAGCAAAAATATTTGGTCTTCAAATTAACAACACTTCAGTGTTTGCAATGATCCATAAGAAAGCTTTATGTAAATAACTTACAAACACAAACAGTTGAGCGTTATTTTAATTTACCAAGATGGTGGACATGTTTAAATGCTGCGAAGATAGTAATGCACCTTAAGTGGAGTCTGGATCTTTACAAGTTGTTTAATCATTGAGAGAAAGTCGAAAAATAGTAATAATGTGATAGCCCAGAGTGCTAAGCTACAAGCTAATGAGCTAATAAAGCTAAATGAGAGATCCACCTCCACCAAAAACTTTTTTTTTACATAGTCTATGTGGTCATTTAGAGTAAAGTTGTAAAACTTCCAGGTGTGTCCCCCCACCCCAGCTCCTCTCACCTTTGGGACAGGTCTGCAGCCTCACTGCGACGCTTTTCTCCTGAAAGCTAACAGTTAATGTTAGCAAGAGGCTAACTAGCCTCTTCCACTCGCTCTCGCATCGGAAAACGGTCCGGTTCGAAGGGCAGAGACACGAGCTGCGGTCCGTCCAACTGCGACGCAGCACGTCCAGCTGCTACATGGAATGACAAACCAACCAAACCGAATAAAAATGGGTCAGGAGGGGAAGAACTAGCAAACAGATAAATACGGAAATGAGCTAACGAATGACTACACGAAAAGTCACATGACACTCACACGTGACTGACTGTTAACCTTTTAAGAACCGACGTCTAGCAAAAAGTAATGTTGTTCGATACCAGGATTACTGGCATCGATACGATACCGGGTAAAATGCTCATAGATATATGTCATAGATATATATGTCATAGATATATGTCATAGATATAATATGTCAGATATATGTCATAGAGATATGTCATAGAAATATGTCATATAAATAATATGTCAGATATAATATGTCATAGATATACCTCATAGATATATGTCATAGATATATGTCATAGATATAATATGTCATAGATATAATATGTCATAGATATATGTCAAAGATATACGTCATAGATATGTCATAGATATATGTCATAGATATAATATGTCATAGATATATGTCATAGATATAATATGTCATATATATATATGATATCTCTGTGCTGGCCAGTACCGGCGATATCGATGCCGATACCGATACTCTGAGCAAATGCACCAAAGTAAACCTAAACAAAGCAGTGTATTTCAAATCAAAGCTGCACAAAGAACACAAGACATCAAAGTAACCATTTATTTTACACTCTGAAATCTAACAATATAGCTAAGTGTATACAACAACAGAAAAACTAGATACAATCATATAAAATATGTGAAAATGGTGTTTCAAACACTAAAAAAAGGAAAATAATAATAATACAGCAGTCCCTCGTTTATAACGGGTGTTAGGTTCCAGCCTGCCCCTTGATAAGTGAAAAACTGACGTACGGACGCTGTTTATTTTAGTATTTATTGTACAATTGAAATATAATTTTATCAGTCAATATATTAACTTGATGAAATATCCAGATATATGTATCCCGTTTTGTTATTTAGAATGATACTGTGTTAAAACATGATCCGATGCCGTTTCCGGTAGAAAATGTAGTTTTAGTTAAATGCCTACAACTCCCAGACATTCACACACCCACCCATTATAGAACACAATATGGCAAGATATTATTGGTTGAGAGCTGGGTCACATGATAGAGTAGGGCTTCCCATTCGTCGATGGTGGTGACAACTCCAGGAGGTGTGGCCGAGCTCTGAAGAAGATGGGTTTTCTGTTGGTTAGGCGCCATTGTTGTGACCGCATGGTGGAGTTAGTGTCCCAGGGCTGGTGATCTTGTACTTTACATGTAAAATAAACTTTCTGAAAATAGAAGACTGTGTTCTGAAGCAGGGAGAGGAGGATCACTTATCTTACACTATTAAAATAAAATATTGTTTAATTATCAAAAAATACTATAAAATGAAAATATTAATATTTTGGGTCAAGATCTCAAATCCTTGGAAACCTTGATCTTCCACTATGGACAGTTAGGGGACACAAACACTTCCGCTTTCATAATACTGGGTGACTGAAATTGAAGTTGCCAGTTAATTTTTTATTAAATAAATCAATGCCACAATAATTGCACAGTAATGGAAAAAATATAAATTCAAATTGTAAATAATAGATGTTTTTAAGACTATTTTTTTTTTATCCATATTTTCTACTACTGTATACATTTTTCAGCATTCACAAAGCAAGGCTGTTTTATCTCCATTGCTCTGTATAACTTGATGACACCTGGTCCATGTAATCCACTTTAAATTAGCCATCCTTTAGGAAACCTTACCTGAATAAATATTTTTTGCCCGTGTGAGATTATCTCAGTGATAAACATATTATTACTCCAAACTGAACTCATGCAAACTATTGTTTGAGCGTTAATTTATTATGTCACTTATTCATAACCATATACCACAGCTTCTTACAGTTTTTTCACAAACTTCACAAACAGGTTCTCGGTTGTTTTTGGAGCTGAAATAGCTCCAAGCGTGACTTTGTGTACGCTCTGTCGTTGTTTATGTTTACAGTCTGACTGACCACGATGAACAGCGTGCCGCTCCGCTTACATGCATTACGCACCACTGGCAGAAGAAAAAGTAGTTCCCACCAACCGCGTGTCATTTAGACAAGATCAAGAGTTTTCTTTCCACTACTTTCCTGTTAATGACATGTATTACCTGAAATGACTGAAGTATCGAAACGATCAATAGTTTGAGTTAAGAAGATTCCAGAGCGTAGCACTATGGTATCGATAGTATCGATATTTTTATATTGATCCATACATCACTAGCAAAAAGTCCCAAAATTCATTCAACCTTTATTCAGACAGGTTAATCCCATTGAGTCTCGAGGACTCGTTTACAAGAGAGACCTGATTTTAAAAAAGACTGATGACAACGGCAACTACAATAGACAATCATAAAAGAGGCATACAGATTTTTTTTATACAAATTAAAATAAGATGGCAAAAAATTACAAAACAGCTAGACTCTAAGGCTAATGTAGAAAACTAAAAACAGAAACATGTCTCCATTGTTTTTTTTTTCCAGGAACTTAACAGATGTTTAAAGACACTTAGAAAGGTCAAGGTCGAGAGCTTCAGATCTTTTTGTAAGATATTCCAGGAAACAGGAGCAGAGCAGGAGAAGGCCCTTTTGTCTAGTTCAGTCCTCACTGAGGGGACACTGCAGGTAATAATGTCCTGAGAGCGCACGCTGTAGCTGCACTCACGTAGAGACATGTAGGAGGAGATGTATGAAGGCAGCAGACCAAGAAGTGATTTAAAGATGAAAATGTACCAGTGAGAGAGTCTGCGTGAAGTTAATGATGTCCAGTTAACCAGTGAATACTGGGTGCAGTGGTGGGTACGATAATCACAGCCAGTTATGAATCTTAGTGCACCATGATAGACAGCATCCATAGACAGCAACATATATATATACATATATACATATATATACATATAAATATATACATATATATACATATAAATATATACATATATATACATATAAATATATACATATATATACATATAAATATATACATATATATACATATACACACATACATACATATACACACACACACACACACACACACACACATATACATACATACATATTTATTTATTTATACACACATCATGATGTCATGATTTCATGTGCACATCAATGTCCGTGTGAATCATGATGATGTCACCTAGACATTGTGATGTCACAGACATCTATGTCCATGTGGACATCAATGCCTATGGGACATCACAATGTCTATGTGACATCATCTTGATGTCACAATGATGTCACATAGACATTATCATGATGCACAT